CTAAACCCCTAAACCCTAAACCCCTAAACCCTAAACCCCTAAACCTCTAAACCTCCCGAGGGCCCTGCCCAAGTGCAGGGATCGGCCGCGGCAGGTTTGCCAAGGCCTCGGTCCTGCGGGGGCGGCCTTAGTTAGACTAGAGTTCCTTCAGGTTTAGGGTTTTAGGGTTTAGGGTTTAGGGTTTAGGGTTTAGGGTTTAGGGTTAAGTTTAGGGCTTAGGTTTAGGGGTTTTAGGGTTTTTGTGCTAAAGGCTTTGGGCCTTTAGGTTTAGGGTGTTGAGGGTTTTTGTGTTAAAGGCTTTGGGCCTTTAGGCTCAGGGTGTTGAGGGTTTTTGTGTTAAAGGCTTTGGGCCTTTAGGTTTAGGGTGTTGAGGGTTTTTTGTGTCGAAGGTTTTGGGCCTTTAGGTTTAGGGTTTTAGGGTTTTTTGTGCTAGAGGTTTAGGGCTTAGGGTTCAGGGATAGAGTTCCTTCAGGGGTTCCTCTAAAGGTGCCTAGGGCAAAACAGTGGCCTTACTAAATTCTCACTAGATAATAGGGCTTAGGCTTTAGGGGCCTTTATAAGGATTCTCTGAAAGGCTTCTTCCAAAGGGTTCCAACAGGCTTACTGTACAGTAAGGGTTGTATATCATGGGCCTGAAACATTAGAACAGGGTCTGCTTTACAGGGGCAATGATACATAGACTAGAGTTTTGGAGATAGAATATAGCTACCATACTTTTTTAAAGGCTACAAGGAAACTTATCAAACCCGAAACACCATACGCAACTGCCCCTCAACTTGGAATGCCAGGTCCACATGTCCTGCACGGCCCGGTGTGCCGTTACGGCCTGCTCGCTATAAGAGATAAGCTGCAGAGCCACTACACTGCTCCACATCGAACCAACATACATACATACATATATATATATATATACACATCATATATATTTCTATAATATATATATATATACATATATCATATGCATATATTATATATTATACATTATAGATATAATCACATACGATTCGCTGTACATATACCCTTGTAATGTATGCTGGCTGGGTAAACTGACATGAAAGATGCCAAGGCAGTGGGGCGTGAGGCTAATGCTTCGCCACGTCTAATAACGACGCGCTTCACGGGCTCACCTTTCTCAGCCTGAGAGAGGAACTTACGGATGAAGTCCATACATCTTCGGGCATCAAGAAAATCTCAAAACAGCATTTTGTCCAGACCCGGGTCGTGGGAAATATACAAGATAACGCAGGCTTCCCAAACATCAGACATGGCAGCAGCTTAGCTTAAACAATCATCCACTTGGCATGACAGGCAGAAACAAGCACACCCTATCCCCCACCCATTTAAGGGTTGTTGATCAACATGCACACTCTTACTGCATTGTCGAGTCGTCGAGTTCTCCGAAACCCTCAACTTGGCCCAAACTCCAAACAAGTCTGCTGTAACGCCGGAAGGTGCTGCAGTAGATGCATCACTGGGTCACCGCCATCATTCAACCCGATGGGCAAAAGTCATGTCGGGGGAAATACCTCTGACGCTAACAGCAAACAGTTGAACAACTCGAGCATCAATTTGACACGAGGTCCACTCACATGATCCAACTCGCGGCACAGTCGATGATGGAGTTTGGTTTAATGGCTTGGAGATGCAGAACTTGGGTTCAGGCTTCACTGGCCCTTCATGTTATGAGATCGGTCGGAGTCGGATAATGTAAGGGCCTTAATCATTAGAATAGGGTTTTGGGGCCCAGTATACTCTAGTTACAATAAGGAACCCACAAAAGAGTATAGGTAATTATTCAGGCCCCTAAAGAACCCTGCACAGGGAACAGAACCTGATGTCACAGCTCCGCCTTCCGCAATGCCCTTCGTGCACCAGCCGCGACAGCTCCTTGAATTTGCAGCATTTTGAGGTTCGGCGTTGTAGCTTGGCATAGCCGGTGCTGGCAATGATGGAAATAGCCCCGATGAATGATACGAGTCACCGCAAATGTCGCGCAGATGTGGGATCTTAATTCATGATTAGTAACCGCCCAGCACCAAAAACAAAAGGACTCATAACTGCGCCGGTTCAGCGGCTTTTCAAAGCAGCAGGTGCCGTTGGTATAATGGCCAGATGTCGAAGGACTGAAGTGAGAACTTCAAGTGCTATTGTTGAGCACCTTGTTCCTCTGCGAACATCAACTGGTGTAGAGTTTAAGCTATCCGCACCCAAGAAGCCAAACCCTAAACCCTAAACCCCCAAACCCCTAAACCCTAAACCCTAAACCCTAAACCCCCAAACCCCTAAACCCTAGGCCAAACCTGCCCACTTTGTGATTTGTGTGGCCCGAGTGGTGACTTCCGACTCAGGGTTTTCTGGTGGTTTGGGGTTCAGGGTTTAGGGTTTAGGGTTTAGGGTTTAGGGTTTAGGGTTTAGGGTTCAGGGTTTAGGGTTTAGGCACAATAACGACAAGAAGAAGAAGAAGAACAGTAGTAGTAACAATAACCATCATCATAACAATAGAGTTGCTAACTCCCGAACTCCAAATTAGCAGCTTTCTTACCCAAAAGGTCCTAAGTAGAATGTAGGGCTTCTATGTTAGGAATTAATTACTATTGTGATTTCAGGAACTATCCCCCATAACAGTACCTAGGACTCCATCCAACGTGAATAGCATGCAACATAAAGCAATGCACTAGTTCGGACTCTAGCACACTGCCATGACGCTTCTTCGAGGGACCCGGTATCTTGCAGCCCAGAAGCTAATTTAGGGTTTAGGTTTAGGGTCTAGGGTCTAATATGACACAATATGAATCACTATACCTGTAGTATTGTAGTTCCTTTTGTGGGCTACCTTCTAGGATCGAAGACTATAGATTCGTTTAAGACAGAAAAGGAACTACAATGGAGACTATACAACATGATGCACTATAATATGATACAGACATAATGCACTATAGCATGATATAGATATAAGACTGACTGATAACATGATACAGATTAAAATATAAGAACGGAGAGATTCCCGACTCCGGCGTATCAGGCTTTAGCGGAGGTGTGTTCCGGCCGCGGCTCGCTGGCCGTGCTCCAGTGCCAGCACACGCTTGGTGAGGCTTGCCGTCCCTCCTGCTTGAAAAATGGGATTCGAGGATCAGGTTCTATACCATAAACCCTATTAAACCCTAAACCAACTGTAGGCTAGCTGGTCACTACCATCTGGTTGAAAGTAAGGACACTCGCCGAGCAAGCCAGGCTGGTTTGGTTAGTCCTGGTGCATGTCGGCTTCACATTTCGCGAAGCGAAAAGCAGAGTTCACACCTCAACCCGAAACCTTAAGCACAACCTAGGCGATTATCTCCTGTTGATTCTAAGCACGGCCGCTTTGGCAGCGGCGCCGGCTTTGGCAGCTGCGCAACGCGCTCGGCAAGCGCGGTGACGCTGGAGTCCTCGGACAGGTTATCGGCACGAAATTACCCGAATCAAGCTATTATACATCACAGTAATTAGGAATCGTTGTAAACGCTTGAGGCTGTAGGGCAGTCTTCGCCGATTGGTTCAAGCCCTGCTCGAAAGAAATCAAGCACAATTTTGGTGGCTGGATTGCACGCCAAGGGACAATGCGCTGCACGTCGCTGCAAACTTGATCGAGCCTCCCATCAATGAAGCATGGTGTCCCGTACACTCTACACAGAGGGCCGTTCAAAACACATACAACATGTTGCCCCAGATCGCGTGATGTGCACACATGACTGCGCACATGGACCTCACTGTACTGCTCACTGTACTGTAGGACATAGTTCTCGGTGCACACGATAATATGAAGTCTACACATGTCTAAACTGTACTAAATTTGGTGAAAGTCTTCGAGTCGGCGGCGCAAGCGGAACTCACGATGTTCCTTGTGTCAGCGTTCCGGGCCTTTCTGCCAGATGAAGCAGGGCCTCGTGCAGCATGCGGCTGTACGCATCGTTGGCTGCTGGCTCCGTCATGGCGACGACACCGATGCAGGAGCACATTCCTTTAACAGCAGCCCTGTACCTGCAACGTGGCTGCCGAAGATGCCGAGAGATGCCAAGCGCGTATAGGCGTCTGGCAGTCCGTGCGCTCATGGGTGCATAAGCCCATCCCCATGCCTTACGTAGGCGCATGGTCCGTATGGTTAAAGTGATACCAAAGCTGCGAATGCTCTGCAAGCCAAGTCCGAGGGAGGGAATATTGAGGGAATCCTTCCGTCTCACCAGCACTCAAAGCCGTTGAAAATGATGCGCCGGTGCTCAACTAGTCCTGCACAGACCAAGAGACTTGAAACAGGTACTCGCCTGATCTGCCGATTCGTGGCATCGTGTGCACTTTCCGAGTTTTGGACATCCTCTTGCCGACTTCAATCCGGTGAGACGTGGTATCACGGCTGTGCTGCCTCTCTCGCTGTGATATCTAAGGCAATAAACGCCTCAGCACTAAACCCCCAGGAGCTCCGAACCTGCGTGACCCTATGTGGAGCATCCCCCAGGGCTCTTTTGCACACCTGGTGCTGTAAACCCTGAACTTGGGGGGAGCACACTGCAGCGTCTCCAGGCAGCAAGCCCACAACTTCGTGGTGCAATGCCGATATTTTGGGACATACAAAATAGAACGGGGTTTGAGGCCTATGTTACATGACTATGATGCCAGTATCTATTCCAACCCGATACTAGTTATCTGTCACTTTTCACTACCGTACTTGCTCTGCTCACTAGCTCTGTCATGCATGTGCCCCTAAGTACAGGACTGCACAGGGTGCCGAGTCAGCATGCGTCCCACGAAGGCTACCCAACGATGGCTCGCTGCGACTATTTCGCTGCATTAAAGTTGCTGAGCCATGAAAGGCCTGAGGGTGGGAAAGAAAGCATCGACGACAGACTCCACACGGCCACAAAGAGACAGGCAGCACAGCGCTAAAGCGGTGACACCATATGTACAAAGGTACTCCTGATGTGTGTTGTCAGAGATGCACCGGATGGGGCAAGCTTGGCCCCACAAGATTACCTCAGGCTGCACGAAACTGAAGACCAATGAGCGGAAGCATCCCTGCGTGCATCAGAACTGTCGAACCTGAGAACACTCAGAATCTTTTGAAAAGCCTGAGTCGTACTGCATTTCCTCCTGCGCTCGCGTAAGATCGAAACCCAGATTGCTGCCCCAGGAGTTTGATCGACGCTTCAGGCACGACCTTTCTCGGAATGGCGCAGCAAAGAGACTCATCCGGCCAAAGACGCATGCTGCCGAGAAAAAAGCTGTCTTGCTAGTATTATTATTACTTTCTTACTCATATTATTATTACTAATATTACTGCTATGTATATATGCATATATATATATACGCAATATTATCAAGACGTTGCCACTGAGACCTTGGCTGAGGGCCGCTGACCTCGGCAAATCGAAGCAAAAAGCATCCTGATCCCTCCCTTCATCAGCTCAAGCTGCAATTCCGTAGTTCAGGATATGGGGGTTTCCGAAAATAGGGGACCCTAATATAGTACCCTAAATAGTAGGATCCTTATTATAAGGACCCCAGAATAAGGTACCCCTTATTTTCGGAAACCCCCATATTCGCTGGCAGCTGCTGCTTAGGTCTCGTGCTAGGCAGCATAGCAGCTGACAGCTTCCACTAAGACAGCCCTAAACTCCTACTTGGAGGTGCATGGGTAGTTACAAGTGGAGTTACAAGTCCCCTAATATGGGTTATAAGTATAGTTACCCTACTTATCACCCCACTTATAACTACCCATGAACCTCCAAGTAAGACAACCCTAAACTCCTACCTGTAGTCTCCATTGTAGTTCCTTTTTGGGGATACTTTATAAAATCCTTAATATGTAATTGGTTAAACCAAAAAAAGGAACTACAATGGAGACTATAGGTAGTTTCCAGGCCACATCAGGCCACCCAATCCGAACCCCCGATTCACGTGGCTCAAAGCTTCAAAGGTCATTGGCGTAGAACATAGACAACCATGACCTTAATCTATGGCGGTGGAGTGTCTGGCCTCTTGGAGGCATCAACGTCGACAGTCGCTGTACCTGCAAAGGCATCCAAGCCCATTTTCCAGAATCCCGAGTTTCCCCCACCATTACCCCCCGAGGGCTCAGCGTCGCACAGAGGGGGCCGCAGCACTACCGGGTTGGTCGGACCTGGCTGAGGCAGAAGCTTGACGGCTTCGGAAAAAAAATGACGATGAAAAGCGAGGATGCTCATGATCATCACGACTTCTCTGCCAATGATTCGTTTCCAGGCCAACCATGGAAAGGACTGCAATTCCAGCAACAGCAGCTACCCTCGAAAAGACGATGGTCGAATCGCATGTGTAGTCTAATGATTATGCCGATGATGGTAGCTGATGATGATGCCGATGCTGCTGATGGTGATGCCTGATGATGCTGAAGACAGAGCAGCTGATAAGTCTTTCTGTCTATGTGATCGTGATTGCCATTTCTCTGTAGATGAGACCATGTCTAATAAACAATGCGACGTATCATATCGGCGTTGCGGATCCTTGTGGTGTGTGTATGTGTACATGTGTCTGCAACCTAAACCCTAAACCCTATATGTGTGTCTGAGAGACAGATCACGAAGCCAACATGCCAAGCAGAGTTTGGCTCGGGCTCGAGCTCCGAGGACGTGTCGACGCCAGGAACCTGCACAGCGTACGGCAGACAAAAAAGAAGTGGCTTCGGGTTTAGGGTTTAGAGTAGCCTACACAAAACAGGAACGATGGTATCGGAAGACAAGCAGACGAGCAGACAAACGAAGAGGTGGAAGAAAGGACGTCATGATCACCTTGGCATGCTCGGCAACGCCGCCACCCCGTAACAGGCTAGTGCTGAAGTCACAAGCTTCAGCTCGTGTAGAAGCCAAAAGAATTAGCAACAACCCCCTTATAGTTCCTACTATAATGGCAGTATACACCTCCGGACACGTTACCACTACCGAGGCCTTATGGCCCTGAAACCCCAAACATCATCACCCCAGAAAGCCCCAGCCCAAGGATCCTACACCCGAACCGAACTAAGATTACTGTAAGGGTTTAGGGTTTAGGGTTAGGGTTATTCCCAGGTGATCGCAAGGATTACTGTAAGGGTTGCTGCTTTGCTTTTTAAGGGGCACTACAAGGGGTGCCATGTAAGGGACCTATGTGATAACATTAGGGTTGCTATATACGGGGTACTGTAAGGGTTGACATATCAGAGGTACTGCAAGGGTTACTGCAAGGGTTACAGTCCGTCGCTATGTCGGTCTATGTGCGGTCGAAGTTATGTAAGATATGTGACTGCAGACTTCAGTTCAGTCAACCTGCAGAACATAGAAATCACGCTTATGCAACCTGACCTACTGCAACATCTCTCAACAAAACTGCTACAAGTAGGTAAACCCTAAACCCTAAACCAAGAGCACCGCGGAGAACGGCAATCGCTGGGCAATCCTACGGTCGGAAAGGTACTGTTGGGAGAACCGACAAGATAAAACGGATCACTGGGACAGGCATACATGTAGGTAGGTCTACAAACAGAAGGACATGTAACCCTGATCACACCTCGGTTAGACCAGTCTCGAGGATGGATGCTCGGACGGCCTGGAAGTCGGGGCTGGTGGCTCCGTGAGCTGTGGGGCGGGGTTTGCACCAGGAAGGTCAAGGCCCTTACGTAGAGGCCTTAACAATTAGGATAGGGTTTTGGGGTATTCTGAACTGTACTTATAATAAGTAGCCCCCAAAAAATTATTAAGGCTCCTATATCCATCCACGGTCGATGTTGGCCTTCCGAACCACCCGTCCTGAAAAACAGCAGGACCCAAGATCAGGTGTCAACTGCAATGAGGAAGAGCCGTCGCTTCCTCTCAGTGAAGCCCTACCACCCTGCTGCAAGCCTGCAAGACGAAACTAATCAAAACCATAAGATATACTATACAGTATACGTTAGATGCTGTATACACTATCTACAATATACCGCATACTGTATATTTCGATGTATATTGTATACTGTACGTTGTATACCATATACATCCACACGCCACATACCATACACAACATACGTGCTACAAACTACATTACATACTGTGGGCTGTACACCATACACTATACACTATATTATACTAGATGACTAGATGCTATATGCGTTTCAATATCATACCTCGACCCAACCGCGCGCACTTCTCTGAGGCTGCTGCCCGCGTCATCAACTTGGCGCCCTCCGAGCCATGCGAGAAGGCCGACAGCGACCCGTCGGACCTGAAATTACAGGGAGCTTCGGGCTTTAGGCCTTTGGGGTTAAGCGGCTAAGTGGTTTAGGGTTTAGGTTAGTGATTCGGGATGCATACAACGTAAAGCGTGTATGCGCTGACATAGCCATGTGTGTATGCTGATAGGTGGATACATGAATGGACAACAATATACTTGACATTTTTACACACACACAGGCTTTTGGGCTGATGACTACTGGCTGAGATGTTCGCGTCGACACGACAGATTGTAAAAGGAATCTCAATACTTTCTGCATCAACGCACTTAGCAACAGCACGAGAGGAAGCAATCATCCACGCCCCTGCCTGTGAGATCTCGGCGTGTGCCTTGCGAACTCACAGGCATGACCAGCTTGCTCACTGAAAAGAGGATCTCGGGGCTGTACTTCTACAGCGCAACGCACCAACGACCTCTTTGTAAATTCGCTGGTGCAAGCAGCAGGGTGCGCCTGCTCGTAGAAGTTTCGGACCTCAGGAGATCCAGTGGTTGCAGAGCGGTTTTAATGTGGGGAGCCACCTGGGGAGCCACTACAGCCCTAGAGTAGTACTCTGAACTCCGAACACACTGCTGGCAAAAGCCGAATCCAGTTGTACCGCACCTCGCTGGCGATTGCGCCCTCGATCCTCCGCGAGAACCCGCTCGGGAGCTCTCCACAGAATTCCGGCCTGAGGGCAGCCATTGAATACCGAAGAAACATGATTCGATGCAGCAGAAACCGGCTTTCAGCTATAACAGCCGGTGCAGTGCAGCTCTGATAGATGCATCATTGCAACTACCTCGAAGTGATTTCAGGATCCTGACGTGACCCTGGAAGCGTCCGGGAGGAGCGCATGCTGCTCCTGCAGCTATGCTTTTAGGCTTCATGCGGGGTCTGGGCTTTGGTCTAGGGTGGATAGGAGGTTGAGCGAAGGCTTTAGAAGCTTTAGGCTGTGCTGTTCAGGGTTCAGAGGGTTGTTTCGGAGCTCTGACACAGTTGCAGTCTTCGGGTTGGCAACACCTATAGAGCAACAGCAAGGACTGCACGGCAACAACGCAGATTGCCGCTACCGTCACCTCTCCCACCACAACTACCAATATTCCTGCTACAAACACGACGATCGCCGCCGCGACGATCTCTGTACCAGTAACTATTCTAGAACCACCAGCAACACATGGAAAAGCACAATATCAACAAAGCAGCTAAAGAATAACCTCCATGTTGACTAGGACTGACCGGGCACATATTTGCTCAAAATTTCTCTCTCCAGTGGGCTATCTAGCATCCGAAGCCACGCAACCGTCTAAAAACAAAGAGGAGGAGCCGGACTCTGAGATCCAGGATCTCTTTGCCCCCTCCCCATGTCACTGCACTGTTCGTACAGGTGGTTCATGGGTAGTTATAAGTGGGGTTATAAGTAGGGTAACTGTACTTATAACCCATATTAGGGGACTTATGACTCCACTTACAACTACCCATGAGCCTCCAGGTTCGGGCCTCAATTATTGCCAGTACTATTTTGGTACCCATGAACCTCCAAGTATGAGTTTAGAAGGAAAGCGCATTCAGAGCATCGAGAGATGTCCCCCTGGTCGCAGTCCTGGAGCTGGCCAAAGACCTTGCAAGGGGGAAGGCTGGTTTAGGGGTTTGGGGGTTTAGGGTTTTTTTGTTAAAGAGGGTTTTAGGGTTTAGGGTTTTAGGGTTTAGGGTTTTAGGGTTTTAGGGTTTAGGTTTTGAAGTTGTGAAACAACATAGCGGCATGACTTTTGCTGCTGGGGACGGCTGACAGATCACAGGTTTGCAGAAGCTGACGAGGTTGCAATTGCTTGGGCACGAATGTTCGACAAAGCTGCTTAAGCTGTCTCTATATATTGCAGCCCGTACTTCCTGCTCGAAGACAGCACCAGGTCGGCATGCCATGGCAGCTTTTTTTCTGAGGCAGAGCGCAAGCAGCTGTCAAGCCCCGCTGTACACTGTACATGCATCTGTGAGCTGTGGAAGAGGACAGCCTTACTGTACTACTCCTCCTCCTGCTGCTACTACTACTGCTACTAATACTAATACTAATACCAATACTAATACTAATATCGATACTACTACTACTACTACTACTACTACTACTACTACTACTACTGTTGATACGAAAAATCCTGCATCGATTTCTCGACGCAGGCCTCACCCCCCGCAACCCCGGAATCTTAATATTGAGTACTACTAC